CCCCAAAACCCCAAAACCCCAAAACCCCGAATGTTAAATATTTGAATTCAATAGACTAAATAAAATAAAATTCTGATTAATTTTGTAAGTAATATCAAACTGAGAAAATTCGGTTGATAATTTTTATTCCAAAAGCAATAGTTTTCAAGCAATAGGACCCATTTCTACAACAGTAACATAGCCAGGCCTTGCTTTTATGCAGTCTTTTATTCTGTTGACAGTAGAAGCACAAGTGATTGCATTTGTGTCTGGTTTAGGCATTTTAAGTGTTAAGGAAGGCACTCCAATAGTTTCCCACTCACAATAATCTTCCATATCTCCATGATAGATGCAACCAATTGACTGCGCTTCAATTTCAGCCACCTAATTATCTTATCTTAGTGCTTTACAAGTGACAATGGCCTTAAACCCAGTAGCTCTACCTTATTCTATAACACCGTATTACTTAGATTGGATATCTACAGGGGCCAGGGTTGGTTCATGCTTCTAAGATATGGCGAGAATTTTCCATCCTAATCTGAATGCAAGAGCCTCTACTGGAGGCCAGATATATGCTATTTCTCCTTTTGATTCAGCAAATTTCTTTTCGAATTCCTCTATGCTAAGACCAACACCATCTTCGTCCCCAACTCCAAAATCATCAAGGGTGAATTGAACTTTCATTGAAATTTTATCAACCTTATGTGAAATGCCAACCAATAGAGATCCAAAGTAGCATCCAAGCAAGTCAAAATATCCAGTTCCTGTAAATGTTACTAAGTTCTATCTAAACATAGAATCAATCTCTTAGGTCAACTAAGGCTGAATACTCCAAGAGTAAAAAGCATCTTCATTAATAGTGAGTACATTAACTCTATTTCTGGCTAAGATGACAAGCTGATCCATAATTAAAGAAAGTCCACTTATGGTTGAAAGAATGCACAAAACAGGTCTAGTCTCTCTAAGAACATCATCTGCTTCTTCAGGTCGAATAACTTTTACACCAAGATATTCCAAGCCTGCAGCCTCCCCAGCGTCTTTACCGTGATCACGACCTCCAATCACAGTAGCTATTTGGTAGTTATTTTCAATTAGATATTTCAACATGATTTTATTCATTACTCCAAAGCCCCATAAAGCAATCTTTTCTCCCATTATACTTTTTTTTTAATTATCTTACTGTGGATATTATTTTGAAAATCTTTGTATCTATTAAATTTTTGCCAATACCTAGAATTGTGATATATCTTTTAAGGGGTTTTGGGGTTTTGGGGAGATCGGAAGAGCG